ATTATTATGTATTGCAAACATATGATAAAAACTTTGAAATGAAAAGTCATATTACTCAGTTTTGAATTCTGTCTTTCCCTCCCTCCTCCTTTATCATCTATCTATCTATCTATCTATCTGTCATCACTTTAGTATGACATTTAGTGTACCTGGATCAACAATATAGCTAACGAGCACATTTACACACTTAGTTCACAATTACTGTATTAACTTATTATAAGTTAACTTTCATTTTATTTTTCTCTTATTGGGGAAGGCTAATGATGTTGTTTTAGGGATAACAGTGAATTATATTATGTATGGATTTGATTTCAAGGTAGCAGAGAGATATTAGATAATATTTACAGTGATGGGAGACTACATATAATAGGTTAGCTTCCTATTGCTGCTGTAACAAATTATGACAAATGTAGTAACTAAAAAAGTATAAATTCATCATCTCACAGTTCTGGAGGTGTGAAGCCGGCATTGCAGTTGCTGGGACTGATGTCAAGGTGCAGGCAGGGCTGCACACCCTGTGGGGTTCTGGTGACTGGGGGTTCTGGGGAGACTCCGTTCCCTTGCCTAGAGGGTGCCTGAATTTGTTGTCTCATGATCTGTTCCTCCATTTCTAAGGTCAGCCACATACTGCCTGTGGTGGATTGTCAATTGGTGGCCAATTTGTAACACCCAGCTAAACTGAATCAGAAAGGTGCTGGGTGTAGAGGACCCACTTGAGGATTATTGCCAAAGACGTCAAAAGGAAGAAGTGGAGCTATTGATTTCTACGCCCCCACCCCTGCACATGTGATTGATTTCCAGAATCAGCAGCTCCCTACACTAGGCCTCATGGGAGGCATTGCCATGGGCTCTAGGTCTTCAGCTGGACTCATGCAGGACATTACTGTGGGATCCAGACCCTCAGCTGGATTCTTGGGTCTTTAGTGTATGGACAGATATCCCATGCTTTTTTACATTTGACTCTGGGTGACTATTATAAAGTAATCCTATAAATTATATGTCCTGTATTAAATTGTTTTGAGCATTGGGAATTAGAAAGGTTTTGAGAGACTGGCCTAGAGACAGTCCCTTTGTACTGCGAACTATATTGGAGACTCTGGTCAGAGCCTGGAACCTCAGAGTATTGATGGTAATGCTGCTGGTTAAGTTGAAACTCAGGAAGATGAAGCTTCTATTGCAAAAAAGGCATTGGCTGCTGGATCGCAGGGAGTATATTGTGCTTTGGCAGAGAGTTGGTTTGCATTTTTTTTTGTGAGATACTACTTGAGTGACAGAAAAATTTCAGTGCTGTCCGCTGTTGGGGTGGTGGCATGGTTACTGCTGAGAACTCCTGGCCAGCCGTTTGTTTGAAGTCAAGAGTGAAGAGCCAGCAAGGTGATTTAAAGCTTTTGCTCAGAGGGAAGGCCCCCTGCAGCTGTGGATTGCAGGAGAATGTAGTTGTTAAGGATAGGACAATGGAAAAACAGACCAAAGCTTTTCACCTAAAAATAGGAGTATATTTGAATTGTAGGAGATCCCTGTATTTTAATCTTGCCATGCCCTGTTAAAAGTTTTTTTTCTTTTTAAAATGTATTTAGAACAGGGTCTACAGGGTCTCACTACATAATCGCACTCAATGATTCTCCTATTTTCAGCCTCCTAAGTGCTGGGAATACAGGCACGCACCACCACGCCTGGCCTTAGTGGCCGGCTCAGCGTGCCCGGGGGTGGGGCCGGTGCGGTATGTGGTGCTGGGGGTCACACCCCTCTCCCTGCACTTGCCTAAGCAGATGCTTAGTTCCACTGAGCTATCTTGCCATCCCTGAGCCTTGAATTTTAATCACCCTTTAAATATTTTGCTTTTGGCAGATATAAATTCAGTAAGTCTTATATGTATGTAATTGTTATATTAATGTAAATCTGAATAGATCAAACATGTTAACTTCACAAATCTGCTACTAGAGACTATGGTGTAAGGAAAGTTAACCATGGGTGGGCTGTGATGGATTGACAACTGGTGGCCAACTTGTAACCCCCGCTGAACTGAATCAGCATGGTGCTGGGTGTGGAGGGCCAAGGTGAGCATGTTGCCAGCAGCAGAGAAGGAGAACTGAAGAGGAAGAGGGGTGCTGTTGTTTCTGGAGAAACTTGTTGCACTGGCTTTCTTGATAGGAGCTCGGCTGCTCTCATCAGAGGAACTCGTGACCTCATTGTAGCTGAGGATGGCTGTGGTTCTCTTTGGGAGAACTCTGGTCCTTACTTTGAGCATGCTTCCCGGCTCCAGTGCAGCACCCTGAGCCTGCTGGTGTAGACCCTTTATCCCACTGGTATAGACTTCCTAGCTTCCATCTCTGACCCTTCCCAGCGCAGATCCTTGAAACAGGCCTGCATTGCTGTGGGCTCTGTGCCTCCAGTTGGCTTGTAGGGGGGATTGTCATGGGCTGTAGGTCTTCAGCTGGACTCATGCAGGACATTGCCGTGGGACCCAGGCCCTCACTTGAATTATTTGCACCTTTAGTGCATGGATAGATTGCCCATACTTTGGTATTTTCTTTGAATGATTATTATAAAATAATCCCATAAGTTATGTGTCCTTTATTAAACTGTTTCCCTTGCAAACCCTGACCACAACAGTACCCTTCAAATACCTGACTCAGAGCCTCTTGTTTCCATTGCCACGTCTCTTCTGACCCTGACCCTCCTGCCTCCCTCTTACAGGCATCCCTGTGATTACATGAGTACCACAGGGATAATCCAGGATCATCTCCCCATCTCCTGAGCCTTAATTTAATCATGTTTGCAAAGTCCCCTTTGCCAGGTGTTGGTCCATATTTGGATGCTATAACAATATCACAGCTGCGTACTTTATGAAAAGCTCATTTGACTCGGGGCTGTGAAGGCTAGGGATTCAAAACCAGGCGGCTGTAATCAGAGAGGTGCTTCTTGCTTGAGACTGAAGGTGGCACAGGGCATCACATGGTGATGCAGAGTGTCCTTACTCCTGTCTCTGTCCTCTTATGCAGTCCAGTTGGATCAGGGCCTCATCTGGTGCGCTCGTTCTCTCTCTCTCTCTGTCTGTCTGTCTGTCTGTCTGTCTGTCTGTCTGTCTGTCTGTCTTTTTGAGAGACAGTTCACTATGCAGTTCAGACTGGCTTTAAACTCACTTTGTAGCCCAGACTGACCTTGAAGTTGCAGCCATACTCCTTAGCCTCCTGAGTACTGGGATTACAGGATTATAGGCATGCATGCACCACCACTACCACCATGCCTGGCTCTGCTTATTTTTCTTGAGGTAAAAACATGAAACCTCTAAGTTGGTTTGCTCTTCGGGATTCATCTGAAGTCACTGATTCTTTGGCTGCAGTGGCATATGCATTCTGATCTAAAAACAAGGATATATGCTTTCACAGTCTAAAAATTATGATATAAGGATTTTTTTTTTTTTTTTTGGCAGAACTGGGGATTGAACTCAGACTCTTGCACTTGCTAGGGAAGTGCTTATTCCACTGAGCCATCTCCCCGACCCCTAAAGTAGGTTTGACTTTTTTTTTTTTTGTGGAACCAGGGATTGAACTCAGGCCCTTGCGCTTGCCAGGGAAGTGCTTATTCCACTGAGCCATCTCCCCAGCCCGATATAAGAATTTTTGATGTGCTTCTGAGAGTGAAAGGAATTTTGGGGAGATGTGACTTGTTTGAAGATACACTAGAATTTCTGGCACATCCTGATAGTTTGGTAGGATAACATGACTGGATAAATAAAATAAATGTCACTTAATGAATATTCTACAAAGTGCCCAGGGCTGTGTCATATCCTTATGCATATTATCTCATTTAACTTTCCTAACAGGCCAGGGGAGTAGAAATTACCATCTTTGCTCTGAACAATCTAGAATCTTTTTACCACTATAAGGTAATACCCAGGACTGGACAGTTTATAGTGAATAAGGCAAGCCAATAAGTTTATAGTTCTGGGGGCCTCAGGGGGCTAGATGGAGCAGCTACGTGTTTGAAAGCCTCCCCTTTTTTTGTTTTCAGAGACAGGATCTCACTATGAAGTCCGGGTTGACCTCAAACTCACTGTATAGCCCAAGCTGGCCTTGAACTCACTATGATCCTTCTGTCTCTGCTTCCTGAGCACTGGGATTAGAGGTGTGGGCTGGCATACCCAGCCTGAGAGGCTTTTTGAAGGCATCAGAGAGCAGAGGGCTCATCCTTTCATAAGGAGCCCCTTACCCAAATAAGTAACCCTTGATAATGTCATTAATCCCATGGCGTGAGGATGTGACTCATGAGCTAATCTCAACTAACTGCACCTCCACTCCCACTGTGCACTGGGGCTTAAGTTGCCAACGTGAAATTCAGGACACACATTCAAACCATGACAAGATGTATCAAGGAAGGTCATGTGGAAGGTAAGCCACAGCCCCAGACCTGCAAATGTCTTTCTTTTCAATTAATATAAGATCTGTTTGATGGCCAAGAGGAATGCTCAGCAGGTTTAGAACTGTGCCTCTAAAATCCTCCGGGGTAAAAGAAAGAACTGCGCACATTGACACCAGACATACGGTTTAGGGAAATTGGAGAGAGAGGAGTTGTTTTCAAAGTCCGCCTTCCCTGTATCCAGCACTTGGGTCATCAGAGGTGCCAAGAGCCCCTCAGACCTCCATGCCTTGGCATAGGGGTTCTGTGGGACTCCCAGGTTGTATTGGGAAGGAGGAGGACCCCTGAGGATCCAAACCGTTCTGCTGCATATATGCCAGAGGGCTCAGTTTAACTGCTGCTTCTTCCTGAAAACTGTCTCCAAGGGGGGTGGGGAGAGACCCTCAGGGCTAGAGCAAGAGGCCTGTCCTACTTGAGGGAGGGTAAGCCTGACAGCTGAAGGGTCCCAGGGCACAGAATATCACCTTGCCTCTCTTCTTGGCCACTCCAGCTGTCTGCTTTTGATAGACAGAGGCATCTGGCTGCTAAAAATATCCCACTGACCAAGGGCTCAACTGCAGAGCAACCTGACTGCGGCCCAGAGCTCAGCTCATGCGGCGAGTGACTTCTTGTAAAGGAACGTTTTTGTAAGCTTGTCAAGCCCCAACCCAGGACCACAGTAGCCTTCAGTTATTTTCTGCCCTGTTAGCAGTGCTGGGTGATGAACGAGACTGTCCCCAGGTCCTTGTCCTCTCCCATTCTGTCCCTGACTCCAGGAGCCTGGCAGAGGGGGAGGTGAGGGCCCAGGGGCTGAGAGGGGGCGGGGCCGGAGAGGGCTTGGACCATTTATAGTCCTGCTCTTTGGGGTGCTGAAGGTGCTGAAATAGGGCAGGGACAAGAGGCCTGGCGCAGTAAAGCGCCCACCCAGCTGGCCTGACAGACCCTGAGATGACAGTAGGCAGCATGGAGAACGTGGAGGTCTTCACTGCCGAGGGCAAAGGCAGAGGTCTGAAGGCCACGAAGGAGTTCTGGGCTGCGGACGTCATCTTTGCCGAGCGGGCTTACTCTGCAGTGGTTTTTGACAGGTAGGAGATGTGGGGGTGGCTACTCTTCCCCGCAGCCTTAGCTGGTGCCACACTCCACAGTACTTCGCTTTCAGCATCATCAGGGGACGGACCGAAGTCGTTGGAGCCTTTCTTTTTTTTCAATGGCACTTCTAACATTTTTTTTTTTTTTTTTCCGGAACTGGGGATTGAACTCATGCCCATGCGCTTGCCAGGCAAGTGCATATTCTACTGAGCTATCTCCCAGGCTGCCCATAGCAACTATTTTCTGGCATAACTTTTTTTTTTTTTTCCTCCCAAGGAGTCATTGCCTGTGCTTTTCCATGGTCCCCAAAAGGCTGGAAGGGTGAGCGTGGGCTTTGGGACAGATTCTCCTGACATCTTCAGCTTGGTCGAGAGGGTGTGGTGGGTGGGGTGGGGTGCTATAGGAACTCTTCTAAGGATCTCTTTTTAGCTCTTTTTGGAATACTAAACTGTATATAAGTGTATTAGGGGATAATACGATTGCTGAGAACAAGTAAGCCCTGTGATGATTTAAATGTATTCTTCCTAGAATTTTTTTTTTTTTTTTTTGTCTTTTTGAGAGAGGGTCTTGCTGTGCAGTTCTGGCCGGCCTTGTGCTCACTTTTGTAGCCCCCAACCTGGTCTCCGACTCTCAGAGATCCTCCTATCTCAGCCTCTGAGTGCTGGGATTGCAGGCAGGCATCACTGTGCCCAGTTTCAGGGCTGGTACGCATGCACATGTAGGGCCTGGGATCGAACTCAAGTCAGTGTGCTTTCCAGGTAGGTGCTTATACCTCTGAGCTATCACCGCAGCCCCTCTAGAATATTCTTGTGGAATTACATGTGTCTGTACTTATTGCTACAGGTATTTTTATAGATTGCTTCTCAGCCTTTGATCTAGGATCAAGCATATATTTTTTAATAGAAATGTTATTTTGCTTCACTAACCATTTTAGATCTTTTTCCCTTAGGCATATTTTTATGCCTATCCTTGTGAGAATGAGACTATAGATATTCCTTTTAAATTGTCACAGATCTCATTTCTTTTAACTACACAGAGCTGTCCATATGGGTTCATGTTCTGTGCATCACCCCTTTTAACTGCGGAGAAGACTCCATTCTATAAATATATGACTTTTTTTATCCATCAACCAATGACAGATATTTTAGAGTTTACAATTTTTATAAAACCAAACATTTCTGCAAATAAAATGCTTGCCCATGTCTACTTTTATCAATGTTGGACTGTTCTCTAGGGCATCTGACTAGAAGGAGAATGGCTGGGACAGAGGCTATGCTATTTTAGCTTTTACCTTTTTTTTTTTTGTACCAGGAAGTGAACTCATAACCTCATGCTTGCCAGGCAGGCATTGTGCCACTGAACTATATCCCCAGCCTCTATTTTCAGTTTTAAGAGGTTTTATTAAATTTATATTCCCATTTCTCCACAGTAGTCTTATCCAAACAGGACCATCAAATCATTAAAAAAAAAAAAAAAATCCTACCTGGTGGTCTCACTGAAATGACAATTTCCTGAGTCCAAAATTGAAGTAGGCTGCCTGGTCTTTATGTGGCCTGAATGAACGTGGCCTCAGATAATGCAGCCATCCTGGGCGTGGGCGCTGCATTTCAGAGATAACTCGGCCATTGTTCTGCTGCTCTTGGCTTCCCCCTTGCCAAGACCTGTAGGGAAAAGGCAGAGAATTGGAGCACGTGGTTCACTGTCACCCACAGAACAGCAGGAGACTGAGCGACAGGCATAGCTCTTCTGGGGACGTTATATTATGCCACTAACCTATGCACGTGTGTGGCAGAGGTGGGGGAAGTGTTCAGGTAAAGGAGTCAGCCAGGTCCAGTTAAAAGACAAAAATTCAGAAATACAAACATTGATCTTTATTCTGTCGCCAAGTTGCCACCTGACCTTAAAAGGACACCTCCATTTGGTGTCTCTGATTTCTCCAAATCAAAGTATTTGATCAGTTTCCCTCTCAGCAATGTCTAGAGTAGTGTTGTCTCCCAGTGAAATATTCTTATTTTAGAAAATGCAGAAAGAAGAAATAGATCGTCACATTACTCTTAATGTTTGGGCCATTTCTTCTAGCTTGTTTTACAATAGCTTTCATAGCTGAGCATGGTCCACATGCCTGTAATTCCAAACCTCAGGAGGCTGAGGCAGGAGGATTGCTGTGAATTCAAGGCCAGGCTGTGTACATAGTGAATTCAAGGCCAGCCTGAACTATATAGGAAGACCTTGTCTCAAAAGAACAAACAGGCCTGCATAGATAGCTGAGCAGTCTAAGTGCCTGCCTAGGCAAGTGTAAGGACCTGGGTTCGATCCCTAGTACCGCATGATCCCTGGTACCATATGCCATGCTGGCCCTGCCCCCAGGTGCACTGAGATGGCCACTGAAACCTGGCATGGTGGCACATGCCTGTAATCTCAGTGCTGGGGAGGCTGAAACAGGAGGATCACTACAGTCTGAACTGTGTAGTAAGTAAGATCCTGTGCCAAAAAACAAACCCAAAACCAAAAATATTCTGTCATTCATTTATGCTACACATTTGGGACCTTAGGCTATTTTTCCTTTAATAATTTATACATCTTCTGTGCAATTATACACTCTATACACTGTTTAGAGACACAACATATAAGGGTTGCATGTTCTTTTGCCACTTGCTGATAAATATTTGAGTTGTATCCATGTTTTGGTTATTATAAATAATTTATTCATCTGAAAAACTAAAACCTTTGCAGGTAAATGCTGTATAAAATGTTTTACTACTACAAAGGGAGTAAAACATAGAATCATTGGGGCAAATGATCTTTAAAATGGTGACAAGGACGCTGCAGATGTTGCTCCGTGGTAGAATGCAGTCTAGCACTACAAGGCCCTAGTTTTGATTCTTAGCACTACGAGATGAGAAAACATTGAAGAATATGAAAAAGAGATCACATGGAGAGGAAACATTCTCTCAGGCTTTCACAGAGAGCACATTGGTCAAGCATGGCCGTGACACATCCACATGGCTGACACTCACAAAGGTTCTACAATCTGAGGTACAGGATCTCAGGATAAATCCTGAGGGGATTTCACTGACCTTATCAGACCCAAAAGCTACAACTCTTGTTGCATAGGTCCTGCTTTACCTTGGTCTTAACCATCCAGCAGAAAAGTATAAAAACGAAATATAAGAAGTAAAGCCATGCTGTTATGTTGAGCTGTAGGGGACGCAGGTCAACAATTTCTGACATTGCCAGTGAAGTGGAAGACCCATTACTATTATGGATTACTGGACTCCTTTAGAATATTTTGCTGAGTTAATACACCTATAATATTCAAATAACAGAACTAAACAAAAAAAGGGGATACAGATGAATGTCCATTTTGTATCTGTGTATTCAAAATGGTTAGGATAGATATATAGTTACATTCTCTTACTGAATAGAGTGATTTGTTCTAATAGTGTTTGTAAATAGGATATCATATCTGCATCTTGTACAGCAATTAACCACTAGGAAGAATGTATGCAATGTGTTAATTATTGAAACTGTCCTACCAGTTTGATTTGAAACTGTCTCATTGCTATTTGTTTTTCAATAAAATTATGGGAAAAAAAGAATAAAAAAAAAAAGAAAAAGAGATCATCTTAAGCAGTGTTAATGAAGGTGGGCATGGTGATGCCTAAAATCCCAGCACTCAGGAGGCTGAGGCAGGAGGATCACCATGAGTTTGAGGCCAACCTGGGTTACGTAGAGTTGAAGGCCAGATGGAACTACAGAGTGAGTCCCTGTCTCAAAAAGAAACAAAAACCCCACACAAGTGTCTATGTTGGGAGTCCTAACACGCTGCATGCTGGGGAAGCCAGCAGTCTGGAGCTGAACCTCGATTCCTGGGCTGGTGGGTAGGATGGCCTCCTGGGAGCGCTCTGGAGATGGAACAGGTGATTTTGGAGGCCCTTCACCCTCTGCTAATGGAGAGTTGACAAGGACGCTGTACACAGCGCCACAGAGCAGAAGTGAATTCAATCACAGGACCTTGAAGATGACTTGCAGCCTGAGATTCTGTGGGCTGTGGGATTTCCTCAGCTTATACAGAAGTCTCCATGAGGTAAGAAAAGAGTGTTCGGTGATCAGAAGAAGGGAACTTATTGTTTTCATTATCTTAATTTAAAATCAAATACAAGGAAGAGCACAGTAATAGTAGTTACAGGTGAGACTAAAAGCCAAAATATTATTCAACTATTCCTTTAGGCAACCTCAGGTGCTTGAATGTAGAGTCTATCTAGCCAGGGATTTTACTTCAGGCTGGTTTTGTATTCATTATTTAGCATAGGTTGGCCTCAAACTCATGACGATCTTCCTGCCTCATCCTCCCAAGTGCTGAGGTTATCGGTGTGTACCATCACACCTCGTTTAGCCTAGGCTTTCCTCACCTTGATCCATGATTCTTAGGGAAATACTAACTAGAAGATCAGAGTTCAAGTGAGTGGACACACGTTTTTTATTTCTACTAGAAAGCTCATCATTTTCATCACTTTCAAATGGGCCTCAACTAAGAAGGTTGAGAACCTCTCTGGTGGACGGGGAAACGGAGGGGGCTTCGAGGGGTGACGGGAATTCTCAGGTCCCAACAACTGAAGGGTAGGGCTGAGACTGAGTCTTGCTGTATCCTGTCCAACTCATCACTTTTCACTGTGTGTTACCCAGTAAGTGGCCTGCTTAATTTTATTTTGTATTTGTAGGAACAATAAATAATACTTTTATCAAAAAGAATAGCATCCACTATCAGTTTCAGAAGAATCAAAAGTCAATGTTGGAGCCTGAGAATTGTTAGGCCCAGAAATCCATAGGTAAGAAACAAGGATATGTGATGATTATTATTATTTTTCTTTTCTTTTTGGCGGAACGGGATTGAACTCAGGCCCTTGTGCTTGCCAGGCAAGTGCTTATTCTACTGAGTCATCTCCCTGGCCCCGATATGTGATTATAAAAAGGACAAAGTTATTATTTATGATAA